TCCCCCCCCTCCCCCCACTATTTTCTATAGTGCCCCTCCTTTATTCTCTGTTAGCGACGGCTGATCCCCCTATTTTCCCCCTTAAATCTAAATCATCCCCTAAAAAAATTCTCCGACCCCGCCTAAGCGATAAATTGTTTTTTTCCTCGAAAGACCCGGAAGATTAGAGCAGGAGATAGTGAGGATTTCACGCAGCCAATGCCAGGATGTATCGGATTTTTTGCCGAAATTATTCTTCCGTCCATGTGTCGGGAAGCTTCGACTTCCTCTGGAAATAAGTTTGCGCTTATCAATCATAAGACCTCTCTTTGATATAACTCATTTTACGTAATTTTCCAAGAGTTTACGAGTATCAGAGAAACAAATAAAGTATGTTGACCTTGGGAGAAAGCATCGTTCATAGTACAATACCAGTGTAAGTAGTTGTTATGAGGTGGCCAATCCAATTACAGCACGGTCTTAGAAGATTCCCTATATTGGAATAGCTACGTAAACGCGTACAAAATGTTTGGCGCGACACTGCTTTAACCAAACTGTTGAAAGAGATGTTTCTGACGAACAACGAGAACAAAACTTCCGCGTTGTCAGTTTATTTATTAGGGCTCAGTGAACTGTAGAGGTTCACCAACTCCACATGTTTCCTTTTCAATTCCCCCAATAAACCATTTTATATCTAGAAAAGAGAGTAAACATAATATTTGTCGGCCCCTGTTAAGATAATGATCCTTAATCAACCGCCCAAGGCCATATATAAATTACACTTGAGGCATCGTGGCTCCCAAAGAGCCCGGTCTACATTTCGGAAAATAACGCTGTCGATGTGACGATATTACTCCTCCTGCGTTGAATGCTCCGCATCAGAAATTTAGTTGTTGTTCATCTTGTTGCGAAGACGTAATCCTAGTACACCTGCATGTAGTGAAGTTATATTTTTAAGTTTTCTTTAGGCGGTCTCGCCTGACAGGGTCTGTGTGACTAGTTTTGGATGTTTCCACTTCCAATTTCGCCATTTCTCATTGACCCATATCGATAATAATTTGCTGCCCGCAATGCATATTTGTTCAAGTTTAACACTTCCTTTCATTTATTTAGTACGTTTTGGTCGGTTAATACTCCCTTAATTCCGAGTTTAAAGAAAATTCTGCTTCTTTCCGGGAAAACTTATAATTTTTAAGATGTATGCACTATGTAATTAGACAGGTTTTGATGAAACACAATTTCCATATTTCCACATTGGGTGATCGAGGAAGTATGTGTTGCGTGACACACAGAATTCAAAATTTTGAAAGTACGTTTTCCTTCTTATGTTTCTATTCAGCCTTTCTTTACTGTGTCTCTATTTAGTATCATAGCTGTACAAATTTAACTGATATATTCTCTAAGACCATTTCCGCCTTCATGCCCGAGGGGTTTGTTTTTTTGGTAAAATGAACTGGTACGATATTAGCATAGACGCAACACGTGTTTATTTGAGGGAACGGAAGTCTCACGCTTGAGTGGGTTGACCAATAAGAGCATATGGAATTAATTTACCGGGAAAAACCCTTCAATAACAGAAGCTCTAGGGTTAAAAAAGGCAACATTACTAATTGGGTTTGGCTGGCGAACACTTTTACGTTTAACGCATGGATGTCAGAAACCGAAAGAACTCATCCCTTTGCCTATTCCCGAAGATAGTGCTGTTGTAAATCCAGAACTGATTTAACTTGAATTTCCCTCGCAAGTAGATTCAAGAAAAGCGGTGCTGATACTGAAGGCGGCGACATGACATCGTCCACGGAGCGACAGCGGCTGAGACCCTGGTTAGAGGATAAAATAAACAGTGGAAAAGTGCCGGGACTGTGTTGGCGTAATAAAGAAAAGAAAGAATTTCGAGTCTCGTGGAAACACGCTGGCAAACCTGATTTTGTTGTGGAGAAAGATGCCATGTTATTTAAGCTTTGGGCCGAGCATACTGGTAAATATCGCCCCGGTGAATCTGCCGATCCCTCGACGTGGAAAACAAGGTTCCGATGCGCCTTGCACAAAATGCCGGACGTCGAAGAAGTAAAAGTTCCCCATAGTTTGGACGAAAAGGAACCTTACCGAGTTTTCCGTTTCAAGGATAAAGGTAAGGAAAAAGAACGGCGCGAGTCGAGTTTAGGAAAAACGTAATCCTAAATCATATTTGCTCACGAAGGTTTTTCGGAATCACGCGGTCAGTGCAGAAATAACCCATGACTATCAAGGTTATGTACACCGGCGAATAACAATTGTAGCCCGTTCAAATACAGCACTGATATCTTCCGACATTTAAACTCTTTAGCCTGTGTGCAAACTAGTGTGACCTGTACCCAAGCTGTAGTAAAAAAAACAGAAACCAGCCGCTTTCCTTAATTTTACTCAACAAGAAGCCAAAAAACTTGCTTAGTGTTTAATCAGCGCCTGGTCAGTGATCTTTTTTTCTTACGAGCAACGAGGGCTATTAATCTTGCCTGAACGGCACTCTGACATTCAAATTTTTTATACTGAGTGTTATATTCTAATCATGGGAAACAACGATGGACAATTAAAGAAAAAATTGAGAACAAAAAATGAGGGTAGACTTTTGAAGTAGTTTTGTGTCGATCACTAGAAATATTAGGTTAGGTTTATCAGTCAAATTTATTCGCCGAAATTTTGATATCGAAGTACCAAGGATTTACCAAACAAAACAGTTTTTATCAACGTGCACAATACATTGTCAATCAATCTTTAAGGAAGTTTACGTCATCTTGTCGCGGTGTTTAAGTGCTAGAAAACGAAAAAAAATTGATATCAGCCATGGGGTATTTAGTTAAAATCGAGCCATAAGTACAGGAATAACTTGCTTTTCCATCAAATGGAGTGTAAAATGCAATAAACGAACTTCGCTGGAAGGATTGCCTACGAATTATAAAATTTGGGGATTCCCGGATTAGTTGCGAGCGAGTTATCATCATAACAGCTAAAGAAAATTTCCCTATTTTTTTTAAAACAATAATTTAAAAACAAGTTAATTCTGGTGTTTGGGGCCTTGTTAATTAGCTACGGTAAACAAAGACAAACTTCAAGAAAAACACCGTTTTGGCCGCCATCGAAGGTCTGCTTATCGCTTAATGTTGTCGATTTTCGACATGGTAATAACGAGAAATTTTACTTTTTCATAATTTTGAGTACTGAGTTTCCGTGACTTTGTATTCTCTTTGCCCTGAAATATCGATTGTTTCGAACCACGTTTGAACCACTGAAACGAAACTGGAGCAAAGTCAGACTTGCCTAAAAGAATTTGAAAATATACAAAGTTCGAACCTTCTATGAATTTCTAAGACGCATGGATGATTTTATTTTGAACGTTTAGGCGGACGGACTTATCGCTTTCGAAACTGTTTCTTCATGTTGACGCAAGACAGTACTAAAGTTTTTTTTTCATGCTTCGAATGAGATCTTTGATTCCATGCCATCCATTTGTCACAGTGCTTTGGAAGAACATTCAGATGGAATCACATTCTAATTAGTATAGAAGGCAAAGAGATAGATAAGATCATTTGGAATATATCGTTGTTAAGACATCAAAATCGCGTCCGAGCCATTAATTCTAAAGCGAACCTTCCCAAAGAGATAATGAAAATATCAGTTAAAAATGACGTTGTCAACATAACTTAGTAGAAGACAAATATCCGGCTCGAACGAAAACCACAGTGTTAACTGAATTTAGGCCCAAAATCCTCTGCGATCAAATATTTAGTCAGAGAGATTTTCTTTTTTCCGTTTTCTCGTTCTCTTCTTGTCTGTTCTTTTTATAGAAAAACTACATCTTAATTTTGTAATTCAGGGTAAATCGAAAGTTCACTGCAAGGGACAAATCATGTACCGCACCCGGACACTCCCTGATGTTGTCAAGCTGGCTGGCGATTACTATCAAACAATGACTGTGCCAGAGGCCTTAAAAAAACATTCATCGGCAACTTATACCTTTATAGCTAATATGCAATTAAAATCTTAGGTAGCGTTTTTTTCCTGTACACACACAAATGGTTCGATTCTTTTTTAATTTAAACTTTGCTTTGCTAAATTTTCAGACTTCATTGCCCCGGAAATAAAATCGTGGGTTCAACTTTTTTATTGTTTTCAGACGATAAGACTTCCTTAGGTAACCAGCCAGACTAAGACTACCACGTGGGTGGAAGGAAGTTGTAATTAAGTGAGGTCGTTATCAGTTTCATCGGGTATCACTATTGTGTAATTTGAATAGGAAAACAAACAAAATATTGTGCTCACCCATTTCTGTGCC